ATTTTTATATTTTAAAAAAATAGATCAGATATGAATTTATAAAATTTAAGCAGACAAATTTGCCTGCTAAAACTGGATGGTTTAAGAGATAGTATAAAAACAGAATTTTCAATTATAAAAATATGTACAATTTTTGTCCTGCCATTACTATGATAATGACTCCGTTCTGAACATTTTTTAAACAATACCGACAAAAGCTAAACAAAAACAGAACAAAAACATAAGAAACTTTTTTTATAGAGAGGAGACATAACCATTCAATTGTTCAATAAATTATCAGGGTAAGTACGAAGTTTAATACGATTCACCTTAACAATTGTATTTCAAGAGAACGTGTGATTAACTGTGATCATTTAATCGTTCAAATAAATTACCAAAGTGGATATGAAGTTAAATTCAATTTGCTTTAATAATTGTGTTTCAAAACATTAATTAATCGTAATCACTCAATCGTTCGAATAAATTACCAGAGTGAGTACAAAATTTAATTTGATTCACTTTAATGATTGTATTTCAAGAGAATGTGTGATTAACCATAATCATTTAATTGTTCAAATAAATTACTAGGGCGAGTGTGAAGTTTAATTTGATTCCTTTAATGATTGTATTTCAAGACATTGATTAATCATAATTATTTAATCGTTTAATAATTGTGCTTCAAGAGAATGTGTAATTAACTGTAATCATTTAAATATTCAAATAAATTACCAGTATGAGTATGAAGTTTAATTCGATTCGCTCCAACGACTGTGTTACAAGATATTGATTAACTATAATCATTCAATCATTCAATAAATTACCAAGACGAGTATTAAGTTTAATTCTATTCACTTTAACGATTATGTTTCAAGAGAATGTGTGATTAACTGTAATAATAATTCTAATGCAATAAACTCAACTACGACTACACATCGAATAGCAAGTTTTGTAATAGAAATTTTTACTTCGAATTATAGTATACTACTAAAGTAAGATTTACATGACTATAATAGTACAATTATAGAGGTAAGTGACAACTTAAAGAATTAGACAAATACGGAAATAAGGAAACACAGGAAAAATTAATCATTACAATACCATATGCATACCCCTTATTCCTGTTTCTTCATATCTGCCCAATTTTCTATCATTCATTACATTAATATATACTTCTTTCTTTTTTTTAAAACCACCTGAATTTGTTTTTTCAGCAGATTTCCAATAATGTCCAAACCTATTCTGACAGCAAAATTCATCACAGAGAACACCTTTTTCTGTGTGTATTCCACATGCTATACTTAACTTTGCAGTGACATAAAACATTTCTCTTTTACTATAGTTAGGCGTAAGAATATTCAGTATGTTCATTTTTATACCAGGGAACCATCGAATTACTTGTTCCAATAGGAACATCACTTTTAAATCAACGAGCTTCATTAGATAGTCAAGATCTCGGGAAAACCTTTCAACTAAAATGTATATCTTTAATAGGTCTTTTCTTTCTTCTTTGTTCATGTTACTTCACTCACCAATCTTCTTTTCCATAGACTTCCTTCTAACAACAAATTGACCAACGTCACATTCAAACTCAACCTTCAGGTACTTTTTATCAGCTGCATCTATTGTTTTTACAAACCTTAAATCCTCGATTTTATTATCCAATATGTACCGTCATTCTTCTTTTCTTTCTGCTTATTCTTTTTTATTAATCTTTCTTTTACTTTTAGGTATATCCACATCATGTTCCCAATATTCATGTTTCATTTGATTCGGGCAAGATGTCTTTTACATCGACATACATAGCACAGCCGAGGCCTAAGACACATCGTTCACCTTGCACCACCTTCAAGCATTTTATGACTTCAGCTACTATTCCAATGACTTTTTCAACTAACAACATTAATTGTTCTCTATTTTCCATTTTCTTTTGATCTTACCACTTTGGTATATACAACTTTTTCTTTACTTCTCTTGACACTTTTATTTATTTACTACTTTTTACTACTAACATCCTTTGATCTTTTATTTTTTATTTTTATTTATTTTTTTTTGACTTTGA